ATTTATATAATAATTTTTACTTTAAACTTTAGGAACCATATGTAGCATGATTAAAACAAAAACAAATTAAAATTTTTTCTGATTAAAAATATATGTACAATTAACAATGTTTAAAAGTAAAAAATCTGATTAAAATTGTTTTATCAAAAAATTTAATTAACTTTTGTTATCAAGCATCATATTGTATGTGTCACTCATCGGTTCTTATGAGAGTCCGATGTTAGCCACTTGAGTGACTGCAAGAATTTTTAATTTATATATAAATTTTATTTTTTAATAATATAAATAAAGTCTGCTTTAAACCACCAGACAAGCTTAAAAATAGTACAGAGTATAACAGATGTTTGATCTGAAATGATATGTCTTCAAATCTTAGTAACAGTAGCATTAAGAAGGCTTAATTGATCTGTAGTAACAGTGAATGATACAGCAATACATATTTTACTAAATTGCGCTTATGTTATATAAAATTTAAAAAAACAAAACACGAAGCAGTAGCCAGTTATCCAATCGTACGGTGGTATCGACTGCATACTACGGTAAAACCCGCTAACAATTTTTCAATCGAACCGGTTTATATTACCCGGTTTATAATCATACTGCACTTTATATTAACGTGGAACTGTTTATGACGTTGTGTATGACATAACGTCATATGACATTGTGTATGACACAAGGTTTTATCCACTTTACGTTCAGACTTTCTGCTTATTTTTCGTTAACAACTGCTAACAATTCAAAATTAATCGTAAGGATGGACGACAAACATAATCCACTAGTAAATGTGATTCGGCACATTAATAATTACTACTTACTGATTCTCTTGTGTCTTTCTTTGCTGGGCAACAGTCTATCGGTGTGTGTGCTCTTTTGCACAAAACTACGTTACAAGTCATCCAGCATCTACTTGGGTGCACTTGCGATGAACGACATTGGTGTGTTAGTGACAGTATTTATGATGTGGTTGCATCATATAAAAATTACAAATTTTGAATATTGGTTGCTAATCCAATATGGATTAGGATGGTTTGGAATATTTATTTGTTTTCCTGAGTGTGGAATGTAGTGGCCTTTACAGTTCAACGATATATAGTGATCAAGTGGCCGCTTCGTCGGTCCTTACGCACAGTTAGACGAACGATAATCATAGTGATTGGACTGGCGGGATTAGCAGTTTTATACTGTATTCCATGGTTTATTCTGTACAGTAATTTATTGTATATGACATTTAATACAGATGATACACCAAACTTTAGATTCTGGGTGGCAATTTTTGACACCATTCATATTATTATAACGTTTGTCTTACCTGCAACAATAATAGCAATTTTAAATACTCTAATAATGTATAACATCCGCAAGTAGAATCGTATCCGAAGAAACTTGATTTTAAATTCCTCTGCTTGCAATAAGGAAACATAAAGTTCTGACAATCAAGCGTCACACATTGAAGTCACAAAAATGCTTGTTATTATTTCAAACTCATTTACATGTTTGAATGTACCTGTACAAATCGTTGCACTTTGTATCAGCTATAACGTATGTATTAACATTTACAATTAAAGAAAAATCAACTATTGAATACAAAGTTTATTTACTTTACAAATGCATTTTACATTTTATAAAAAAGTAATGATAAATTTTTTTAATATTCAAATTTTTTTTTATTACTTTTAAATTTTTTTAACGCAATCGATATAAAAATTGTATTATTGTTTATTATGTGTTAATAATAACTTATAATGCTAATAATCATATTTGCAGATATGGAATATACATGTTTCCACAATTTTATTCATAATAATATTTTTGCATCTTATAAGTTACGGAATGAACTTTGTTCTTTAGTGCGCAACTGGGAAGAATGTTCGCAAAGAATTGATTCATATGTTTACGACATGATCAGATACTAAAAGGAACAAAGA